ATCCAAAAAGAGGTAAAATTGAGACTTAACAATCATACATAAAAGACACTCAACAATTATGCCATATTTTATTTATTTGTTTATCATCAATATAGACTAGAGAAAGTAAAGGAAAGGTAGGACAAATTGTGGAAAAAGATAAGTGTAGCAGAAAGATGACTCCTACTTTAGGTCCCTTCATAATTATCTTCCCAGACACTAGATCTTGCACAACACAACCAGAACGAGAATATTGGACATTATAATCATGATCAACCAATTGGCCAATAAAAATAAGATTTCTAGAAAGAATGGGAGACACCAAAACATCAGTCAAGGAAAGGGAAATATCACCAATAGTACTGATAGGCAAAGAGTTGCCATCATTTGTGTGAATTTTCTGATTTTCATCATACTTTTGCACATTGGAAAGAGACACAGAAGAATTGGTCATATGGTTAGAAGCTCCAGAACCAAGGTACCAAGGTTTAGAAGAAAAATTAGGATTACTTGAGAGTCCAAAGGTAGAAAATGCAGAAAGAATCATCTGTTGTACCATTTCAGGAGTAAGTGTGTTTATAGGAGGTGTAGGAGCAGAAGTTGAAATAGGCAATGTAGTAGAACTAAAGGCATCAACAAAGGCATGATAAGCAGCTCCTTGCTATCTTTCAGGTCAAGTCGGACAGGCTGTGATGATATGCCCTCGCTGCTTACAGTAATTACAAAATTTTTGTGGGAAATCCTTTGCAATATGATCAAATCCTTTACAACTATAGCATTGGACAGAATGCATATCTCTACTCTTATTTCTTCCTTGTGCTGTATAGGCCACATTAGTAGGAGCACTAGAATTGGTTTTGTGTTCCATGTCTGCTTGAGTTGCTATGTGTTGTTCCTCTCAAAGAAATTCACTCAAGCAAGCATCCAAAGCTGGTATTGGGTCACAGTTCATCAAATTAGAACGAGTGACTTCAATGTCAGAGCGCAACTTCATTAAGAATTGGTCTCTCTTGCTGGTTTCGTGCATTTTTTGGACAGTAGAGAGGGTTTCGTCAGAGATACCAGCATAAATAATGTTTGAATATTCAGCCCAAAGATTTTGAAAACCAGAAAAATATTTCTCAATTGAGAGACTCCCTTATGTGAAATTAGCCATCTCACACTCCAATTGAAATCTCCTAGCTATGTTTTCTTGATTATAAACCTTTTTCAAATAATCCCACATTTCCTTAGCAATTTTATAAGGCCTCATATTAAGAATAAAGCTAAGTATCCATGTCATGATTTAGGCATCTTTGATTTCCCATTTTTCCAAATCCTCTGGACTTGTAGGTGCTGGTGTTTTTCCATCCCCATAAATCTTTCCCTTTAACAAATAATTTGAATTGAAACTCCCAAGTAGAATAATTTTTTGCGATTAAATCGAACAAGAAAGGAATCGGACTTATCATAAGACATGATGGAGTAATAAGGATCAACAATTGAACACAACAACAAAACCAGAAACCTAGGAAAATGCACAAACAGAGGGCATAGACTTTGAAACAAAACCTGATTGCAAATCACTTTGCTCGCTCAAGATCTCCCAGGAAGATAAGTCACAAAGACACCCACAAGTTCACAAGACAAGAATAATGTTTCTATGGACCAGAACATAAGAGTTGACCATAGTTCAAAGTTGTGACTCTGATATCATGTCAAAATATCAAGAGACCATAAAATATTTTATAGTATGGCAAGAGCTTTTGTTTTGAAAAACTGATTTGCCTTCTACGGCCTCTCTTTCTTAAATAGATAGCAAGATATATATTTTTACGAGAAAGTGAGAAATTACAGGAGTTATACAAGTAATGGAAAAAGTATAAAAGATTTCCTAACAGCTAAGATATACGTAATACAACTATAATCTTATTAAAATAGGTAATAAATTACATTAAATATATATAAACAATAATTAAATATTAACCGAAAACCATATATATATATATATATA